CCCCAAAACCCCAAAACCCCAAAACCCCATTAATACCCAATCTTTTGAAATGCTGTAAAATAATTTAAATTTTATAATATTTAAAATGGAAGAGATAGATACAGCCGAATATGAAGATTTTGAAATGAGCTACCCTCCCAAGCTCAGCTTTGAGGAGCTGAACATTCATCTGTTAAACACCCAGTACCATATTTTGAAGACTAGACCTGAGATTTTGAAAACTTTTTATTACTATTCAAAGGACAGTAAGTTTTGATATACTTAGACTTTAGAGAAGAAAAGTTCCAGAATTATATCTGATTACTACTGGACGCTCATAGTTCCTTTCATTCAGGAAAAGGACAAGAAAATAAAATATTTTGGCATCAAGCTGCTTAACGAACTAGCTCAGAATGAAGGATCTCATGCACAGATTTTGCAACAAGTTTCAAATAGATCCAAAAAGAGGCATCCATTGATTACTATCTTCAATAATATAATGCATCTTAAAAAGAAAGAACTGACCCAATCTGAGAAAGACCAATATGAAGTGTACTTAAATGTCTTGAGAGACCTCAAAGGCAGAAGTTTTAATCAAATAATAAAAGAGAGGATGAACATCGTTATCATTATCATCAAGACCATCAAAAACGCAGAATCCACTGCCATCTTAAACGAGTCAGTCAAGCTAATAAGACACTTGGCAAATTCAAAATAAAGTTATAGAGATTCTCTATGAAAAAGAGGTAATTTTACCCAATTACTTTAGACATTGGAGAATATAGTCGAAGATAAGATTCTAGAGGAGTCTGACACCTCTACTCAATGTCTCTTTCTTGAGACTATCTCTATTGCTTGCTCATACATAAATTTTCGGAGAAAATTTGTGAAGCCTAACTTACTGAAAATAATATTTGGGCAGATAAAATCTATTTCTGCTGATGTCACCCTCCAAGCACTAACAATTCTTAAGTAAGATTCTATCACCATATTTTAAAAATCTTGATACAAAATTTCTTTTCTAGAAAACTCTCATATGACAAAGAAAATCAAGAGGAACTTTATAATCATAACATCATTGGAAGTCTCATATATGTATTCAAATGGCTGCATTACAAAAAGGTAGGGTTTAAGAATAACCATAGCCTCATGCCAAGCCTCCCATTTCTTCTTCAAAGGAAAGCACAAAGAAACAAACTAAAGCCTCTATTCATGTTAATATTTACAGACAGATCTCAGAGACTTTCATGAATATCCTCCAGTTCCACGAGAATCATAACAGGATTCTTAAGAAAGGGGAGCAAGGTCATACTGAAATTATTGATTGCATTGTCCAGCTAGGAAGAAGCGTTGAATATACTGTAAGGTTAACTTAATTGTTTAGAGATGTGCACAGACCACTCTATACTGAGCAAAATCACTTGCCCATATCACAGAGATCCTAGAATGCCACAAATTAGTTTCATCAGATGAAGCAATAGAGCTCATGATAGACATCATAAAGGACTCTAGTAATGTGGACCATCACAGAGAAGGGTGCAGGTTCTTTGCCAATCTGAGTTTTCAGAAAGATTACAGAGAGCATCTTATGAACAGAGACATTGCTGTTTACCTGTTGAAGGCCATAGACGGAAGCAAGGATACCATTAAGCATAGTGCCATTGCATTAGCTAACCTCAGTTCTCACAAAGATTTCATGAGGCATGCTGTCATTAACGATCCTTCGGAGATGCCTGGAGGAGGAGACTCTTCTTTCAAACACCAGGTATCTTTTAACGCAAGGAAAAGCCAAGTTAGGCCTTTGATCCATCTTCTCGATTCAAATATTGCTAATAATCTTAATCTGATTCAATCGGGATGCATTACTCTGTGCAACATGGCCTCTAAGCCTTCCTTGCATGTGTTCTTCATTAATGAGCCAGAAATTTCAACTATCAAGAACTGCCTGGTGAATCCGATCAGTAAAGATCTGACTCGATTCATGATAAAACTTGTGTGAAATCTCACGAAGAATACCAAGATCCTTCCTCACCTAGTCAAAAAGGGCTTTGTTGAAATATTAATCAAGTTATTGTACCAGCGAGAAGTAGGTTTCTCCTAACATTTAGCATAAAGAAATATTCGGAAATGTAGTCACCGCAATTTCTTACATGTGTGTGCAAAAAGAGTGTAGAGACCAGATCATAGAGCGAAAGATCCTTGGACCCAAAATTCTAGAGCCTCTTGTTCTTGCTCATGACGTTGATCAGAAACTGGTAAGATTCAGCTTACTCTATAGATCGTAATCGCTCTGACTCAAATGCTATTCAACGGAACAGAACTACAGAGAGAGTTTATCAAAAGTGGAGGCTTAGGCAAACTTCTATTCTTTATGCAGAACAAGAATGAGAAGATCTTCCAGCAGCTCGCTTGCAAGTGCTTTTCGTTATTGTCTGAAAAACAAGAAAATCTCCAAGAAATCCTTGATAAAGAGTGCCTCAATACCATCATCGTATCTTCGTGCTTGAAGAACAAGGAAATAGATCTAGAAACTTACAAGGAAATTATCAAGATTTTTATCAATCTAATTTTGTGGTGTAAACTCAAGCCCGAAATGATTGAAACAACTTGCTGCATTTGAGATATTGGCTTGATGATCAATGACAGAGACATGAATGTGTTGAGCATGTTCTGCCTTAACGCTCTCAGTGAAAACAGCCAGAGTCATGTTCATTTTAGAAGATCTAGCTATCTCGCTGAAGATGGTGAAACCAAAAACGATCCTTCGAAACTTTCGAAATCCAACCATCAAATGCCAGCAGGAATCTTTAGCGACCCAGATAACAGAAGAGGCTCTGGCTCAAGCAAAGATAGCAAGATTGGAAGTAATTCGATATTTAATAGAGTTAACTATTTACTTATGAATTGAAAACAAAAAGGCAATCCTTCCTCTGCTCTCCAAGATCTTACTCAGAGAGACAATGAAATGGACGATTTGCTAATCACACTGATTTGTTCTTTATACCTAAATCTTTCAAGGAATCCTGAGAATATTCCTGAGTTAGTGTCTCTAAGACTTTTTGAGAAGCTTAGTGGAGACATTACAAACATCTTTAATGAGTCTTGATTTTTGTACACAACCTCAATTTTCTCAAACATGCTTGAGAATGAGATAACCCACTCTGCATTCATGGAGGAGAAAGGGTATGAATTTTTCTTTAAGATTCTGAGCAACAAAGAGAAGCATCAGCATTTGTTTCTTGAAACTTTAGATTGTATAAAGCTATTGCTTGCCAAGAGAGAATATTTGCCACATTTCAAGAAAATAATATACCTTGATCAAGAGCAGAATAATTTACAAGTACTTTCGATTCTTTCGTTCGATTTGAGGCAGGATATACTCAGTCAAAAGTCCATTATCGACAATATTGAGGATAAACTCATAGTGATGGCTAGAAACGGGTGGTTCGATTCTGACGAGTCTGTTCCTCTCAAGGGTCATTCTCGTCCTCGCAGAAGAGCTAGACATCTTGCAGACAAAGATTGGATTTTTAAGAGAAAATAGCATGGTTCCTGACCACAACACTAAAGAATTCATCGAAGAGAGAAAAGATTTTACTCTAGCTCTTTCTATAATTCTCTCAAACCTATGTAGAGATGAAAAGTATGCGTTCAGGCTTTTAGAAGAAAACTGAGGGAATCCGGAAGAAAATTCTCTGATTTTAGCAAGTAGTTTCTTACCAAAATTTTTGAATCTTCTGGAATATGACCCTGATCATCCATTCATTTCTGAGCAAATCAGTATTTTGCTCGCAAACTTGTCAAACTCTGATAACTTTAATTGAGCAATTATCTCAGATAAGTGAGTCAGGTCAATGATGAAGATCATTTCTCTTCGTGACCAGAAGCATCAGCCTACTCAGATCTCAATTCTGGCTGTACTTATCACAACTTTAAAGCTTTCAATGAACTCCACTACTTGTTTGGCCCTGAATAAGACTCATATCATGAAGTATCTCTTGAGGATTATCAAGATGAGTCCTGAAGCAATAAAGCTAGAGCAAAATACTAAGTATACTCCAGAAAGAATCATGAGAGTGACAAAGTCTATCGCTCTTCTTATAGTTAGCAACATAATAACACTAAGAGAGTACTCCAATGTTGAAAAAGACTACATTGACTTTGCAAAGAACATTCTGGAAAACATAGAAGAGTACTCCCAAGATGAAGAAATTATTATTTCAAATAATCTTCTTTACTCAGGACTGATCCTGTTTTATAACCTTATTGAAAGTAGCAGGAGTAAGAAGTATGTCGAGCTTCTCTGAGAAACCCTGAGTGATTACATTTTAGGAACAACTCATAAGCAAATAATTGACATTTTACTAGAACTGATCACCCTTTTCACTAGGTTTCCAGACACTTGCAAACTAGTGCTGACTAACCCAGCTCTTATCAGATTTGTGTTTGACAAACTCACTTCTAAAGATCCTGAAACACTGGAGCTTTGCACTCTAGCCTTGAGTAGAATCTCCGCTGAGCTGCTCAGCAATAGCAACAAAGACCAAGAGGATTCTGAAGAACATGATCGGATTGTCAAGCAGTTCTCTCAAGGAGGGCAAGAGGGTGACAAACCACTAATTATCAGGTGAGAGAAAGAATAATTGTTTAGATATCCTCAAATAAGCGATGTAATAAAAAGACAAGAACACGAAACAAGAAATGGAATTCTCATTTACTACCTAAACTTTCTTGAAAATTTCACAGCTCTTGAGAAGGTTCGTAAATAATATCCAGAACATGGATAAACTGTATAAGAGCATGCTCAACATTTTTAAAGAAGACATCAGCCATCTAAACCTGCTTTCAATAATCAACATTCTGTTCAACATTTCACTCACTCTAAAATCTGCCATTGAGTTTGATCCTGGCAGTCTCCAGAAGCTCCATGATCTCTACCAAAATAACAGTAAGCTCCAAATCTGATTTTCAGAGGAGAATAAGCTAGACGAACAGAAACTTAGGAAAATTATAATTTTCGTGGTTGCAGCCACAAGCAAAGAGTCTAATCATAAGAAGATCATTGAGCTGGGTTTTTATACTCAATTCAAACAAAATCTAAACAGGAAGCATAAGGAGCTGCATAACAGCGAAGTAAAGCAAGAGGTAAATATAAAATATCAACAAATAGGAAGAAGAACAAGATCAAATAGAACTTTACGGAGTTGTGAATCTTGCAATGAATAGCATGAACTTCAAGCTTATCCACTCAGACATGAAGCACATCCATACACTTGCTTGAAAGAGCAAGCACATTGACTTCAAAACTAGGGTTGACTTATTGTCTGAGATCTCAAAATATTTTAGCTACATAAACTCAGAAGATAAGAGTTCTCGTCAGGCTTCTGATTTCAGAGGCCAAATGAATCAGTCAAGTCAAAAAGATTGTACCAGTAACCTTGTAAAAGCTCTGATATACACAATGCGGAAGCTGATTGAGTCTGTAGACACTACCAACTTTTGAGAAGTCAAATATCTACTAAGTGCATTTTATGAATGTTCTCAGAGCCTAAAAAGTCCTTATCTAGTGGTACTCATTACAGTAAAAGACTACATCTCCTTTTTACTCAAAATCCTCAAAGGAGAGTTTGAATATGAACAACGAGTTTTCTCATACTCTCTTAAAGTCATAGCCTCAGATATCATTTTCAATTTGAAAGATGAGAAAGAGCTGTTTAATGTTCCTGAAATAAAAGAGATTTTTAAATACCTAATAAAGTTTGCATCTGACATCCTTCAAATGGGAATTGAAGCTAATGTAAAAATTGTCATTCATGCTTTGAGGTTGATATCGCAACTATTTGCTGTAATATTTTGTGACAAATCTAATCCTGCTGACAAAGTAGACATTGACAGAGTTATAAGCTTTGTCAAGGAAGCTATCTATCTGAATAAAGCTATCCCAGCAAGTGTCAACATTGATGCCTTGTTCACTCTGACTAATTTAATGAACATCGAGGAGTTTGCTCTTGACAAATCTTTGAAGAATGCAGACACAGTAGGAAATGCCATTGTTATTTTCTTCATTTTCACGAACCAAGTAGAACTTGATGAGTGTATTGTCTCTTTGCTTTACACAATCTCTCACTACAAAGAGTATCTACCTTTTATCCAGGACATTAAAATAAACGTGATATTTCATTTATTAGAAAAACATTTAAAGAACTATGAGGGAAACAGCTCCATCATCAAGAACTTATTCTCGATTATTTACAATCTCACAGCTGAGAACGACAAATGAGCTATTAAATTCCCAGATGCAGAAATCATTATTAAGAGAACCATCACAATGCTTGGCATCAATGCATCTGAAGAAGATACAACCATCCATGAGATAGCTCTTAAATGTAAGAATTTTTGTTTATATTTAGCTTTAATAAACATCTGAAAACATAGCATTGAAAGTTTGGAGCAGATGGATTTGATTGAATTATTCGATCAAATTAATGATGTATTTGTAAACCTCTCTTTTGTTGCCCAGCAATATTCGTTCAGGTTCATTACTATCTTAATCAACCAATGGAACGATAAAAAGATTGAAGAGTACCTAACCACAATTTCAAAATTGATAGCTAAATTTATCACTAAGTGGACGCATAACTCTTTGAAGCATCAGTCTAACGGACACAAAGAAATGAACTATTTGACTATCATCATTGAGAAGATCAGCCTGAACAACCAACTTATTCAACAAATTGCCGAAGGAAATAAAGAGCTTATGATTGCTATTTCCGACTTCATTGCCAAAAATTATAAGGAGCAGTCATTTTCATTTATTATCGAGACTTTCTTGATCTTCATTAACAAGCTATCTAAGTTCCCCAGCAGTGTGCAGAACCTTATAGATGCTGATATTCCGAGGGTCGGACTGGAATACATCTCACATGGCCAGCAGATACGAATTGACAACATGAATGTGGACTATCTAATCCAGAAATTGTCTTCAATTCAGAATGTGATGAAAGTCATCAAGAACTGTTGTGAAGCAAACATTGATCATAGTTACAAAAAGCAAATCCAAGAAATGGTTAGCAATAAATAATGAAATGATAAATATGTGAGACGAACTGCTCCAAGAATACTCTGACCATGATGACATAGCAATTATAGTTGTCAACATTATGAATTGCTTTAACTCTATCAATAAACAACTGTAAGTAATCTTTAATTGTTTAGTAAGCCAGCTCGAGTGAAGGCCTGGATCGAAAATTTCACAAATCGGCTGATAAAATGTCCAAACTCCACTGAAGTTAAAAATCCATACAAAACGTGGTACATGGAGAAATATGTGTTTATTCTCGAACTTTTGGTCACCAAAAATATAGACAAGATAGAGAAAGATATTACTCTAAAACTGACTGAGATCACCAAGCTTGATAAGACTCACTTCAACAGAACGACTTGGTATAAAGTAGTCAAGATTTTGGCTCATTTGAGATACCTTTCTTTTCTATTTAAAGATCAAGAAATCTTTAAAAATGTGTTCATATTCATTCTTGATGCTTGAAAACATGCTAAAGAGAATCTCTGATTTTATTTTATCATGAAAATTGTTAGTCTAATGAAGAAGGCAGATATGCACTTGTGCGTTAAGTCTTCTGGGCTTCTCAAAGAATACAGTGATTTCTTTGATATATGCACAGACTTCCTGAAAGCCAATTATCAAGAAAAATCTGACCCTCTAATTCTAGAGATATTGCTTTATGTTATTGAGTTTTATGACTACCTTCTAAAATTTACAGAGCTCCATGATATGTTGAATGAAAACGAAATTATCTACACAATAGCTTCAATGTTAAGCATTCACGAGAATAAGCATATTTTAAAGGCAATTTCAGTAATACTTTCAAATGCCTCCAAATGTATCATCTTTAATGCAGACTTTCTCACCAATAACCGAATGGAAAGCATCCTCACAAATATTCTTGTAGCTGGAGAAGATCAAGAGAGGTGTGGAAATTTATTTGAATGTTGTCTCTCAATTATCAGCAACACCAAAGTGCCAGTCAAATTCATGATTGCATCTTCCATCTTAAAACTGACTGATCCCAGACTCAAAATGATCACAAGGGATTTGAACAGAGACTGCGTGATCCAGATCATTCAAGTTCTTACTTACATTCTGAGCAACCTCGAAAGCACCAAGTTTGGGAATGTTAAACAGGAAGAACTTTCGAGAAAGACTCACAAGTATTGCCTCATTGCTATGACAAACATTATGATCAGGTATGACCCACATTTGATCTTTGAGCCAAAAATATCGGCAGCCAATGGTGATCTCAGACTGATCATGGCTGGGGCTTCTTTCGAGTCAGATCCTCAAGTTCATTTGAGAATCCTCTATATTCTGTACAACGTTGCTGATATCAAGCCTTTAACCTCAGAAACTTCTGAAATAATCATTGAGTTATTAATGAACATTTACAACTTCAGATATGTTTTGACCATGGATGATGACTATCATTTCCCAATCAAGCCATGAGCATATGCAAAGTCTCTGCAGCAAAACACCAATGAGAAAGATTCTTTGATTAGCATCAAGAATCTCCAGAAAGAAAATGAAGAAGCATCTTCAAATAGCAAAGCTGTACCTTTGTCAGAAAACAATATGGAGAGAAATAGCAACAACAAATCAAACTCTAGCGTTATGAGAGAAACTATTGAAGAGGAAGAATCCAAACTTTGTTCTGATGAAACTGCTGATACAAACCTGTTCTATTTCGAAAGCGAAGAGTTCGAACTTCGTAAGATTGATGGCCTTCGGATGTCCCTATGCATGGCCATAAAAATTCTCAGTAGGCTTTCTTCAGTTAACAAAAGAGCAAATTGCACTCAAATTTTTAACTCAAAATTTGACAGATTTGATGCTCTTTTTGATTATTTCTGGCCAATTATTAATAGAAGAAGCAATAAGTGCAATGAATATATTATATGAGTGCTAGAGATTATTAGATTCGGAGCTGAAATTGGAAAACTTGAAGATATTATTCTCCGAAAAGACACAGTAAAGCACTTAATAGGACTACTGAGAGTAGTCTTGTCTCAAGGTCAAAACGAAATGATATTGATAATCCTAGAAATATTTAACCATCTTTCCACAGAACCTAAGTTTTACAACTACTTACAGATTGAAAGCCCAACGTCGCTTCTGGATGACAAATCTTTAAGAGAGAACAAGAATGAAGCAATAAAGGCAAAAGCAAACACTTTGTTCGAACATGTTATTAACAATGATTCTCAGAAGTACAGCTACATAATGCCCTATGATTCAGAAGAATTGAAGAACATCAAGACGGCTCCTCTTAAGAAGCAACTTTCCTTCTTGAAAAATTTTGAAGATGCTATACAACAGAACAAAGCCAAGTTTGATCAGCAGAATGATGCAGATATAGAGAACCTCATCGAGGTATGTACCTTTGACAAATACAATTCAAGCATGGAGTCGGAGGAGTCTTTTAGCAACTTTGGAGACATATCATACTTCCCTGAAGCAAAGGATCCCAGCGACGACGAGCAAGAAGAATCCCAACAAGGAGTAAGCGAATTATACTAATTTTATAGAACAAATTGCATAGGAAGATCTTACTAGCAATTTCAATTATGAAGTGTTTAGCCAAATCAAAACTAGATAGGATCAAGAGCAGGATCCACAAATTTGTGTCTCATCAAAGGGAGACTCATCTCCAATTGCTTAAAATAAGCAGTGAGCACTTGTACTCCATCTTCGAGTTTTACCTTGAATATTTTAAGAATAACTATTACTTAATTAAGAGCAACAAGCTGATTGAGCAGATGATGTTCCAGATGTCGGAGTTAATCTTAAATGAGAAAGATCTGCCTTCTAAAGATCTTAAGAATGTGATTGAATTTTGTACCTTCATAATGAAGAATTCTGAGACAGAGGAGTGTTTGCAGAAAATCACTGATTGCTCAAGGCTAATGATCTTTACCATATCGAATAAAGAGGAAAGTATCAGAAATTCTATTTCCTCCTTCATAAAGTTGATTTATTTCAACCCAATTTCTATAAATGATTTATGGTAAGTGCAAATTCTAATGGAATAGATTGGAGTTTCTTCGAGATTTATTATATTCTACTGAGAAAGACGTCCACAACTTAGGACTATTCTGACTATTCTCGGTTTCACTGTATAAAATAAATATTGGGCACTTGAGAAAGCTTGGAGCAATCCCTTTGTTGATTAAGAAGCTTGAGTCTGGAAAGTATGATAAGAGGGTTAATGCACTCAAGATTATCATTAACTTTATGGAAATATCTTCTCTTGATGAAGATTTATTAAAGGAAAAGGAACATCAGCTGTTTGATTTCTTTCTTCATTTTACTCAATCGGAACAAGGAGAAGAACAGAGATTAGCCACTAGAGCATTATCAAAGCTTCCATTAGCAATTCTCCAGGACAGAAATCCAAGAATACTCGGTAAGATAATATTTGAGACTTTAATGTGCAAATTTGCATAAAAAATTTTGGCTAAAATAAAATTTTAACAAAGATGTTCAATGAATATATCGAATAATATTTTTAATAATCCAATCCCAGATCAAACAAAAGAGAGCACTGGTTTTTATTATTTTGATATCTTTATATTCGAGCTAACTTTTCTCAATCCCAGACTGCTACAGGAATATTTCTATAGGAGATTTCCTTCTAATCATTCCTAATTTCCTACAAGGCTGGAGCAAATCTATTTAAGGATAATCCTAAGCTCTAGGAATTTCACTTTCGAAATATTTTACTTTTTAACTCAAAAAAATTACGAAACGTTTTTAATAAAGCTAGTGAGTATTTTGTTTATAGCTTGAGAGTATATTGTTAGTTTTAAGACCGATTGTTATTAATCTAAATAATTTTAGATATCACACCTAAAGATCAGCCAAGGATGGCTTTTGCAAACATAGAAGGTCTGAATCCTAAATTTGAACAAAATCCTCAACAGAAAACTATCAAAGAAGAGATTACTGAGTCTTCAGTTTCAGATGCCTCTAGTAAAAGCTTTTCAGAGAGTGAGTTTGAGAGAGAAGATTCTAAAGAAATAAAAATAAATAAACAAGGGGACGTCGAGGAGACTAAAGAAGCACCCGAGGATACAAAAAGAACGACCAATGAAAACAAGAAAAAGAATAAAAGTGAGACTTCAATGGTCAGTTCCTCAGACTCATCAGACTCAGACAACTCCTCTTCAGAGAAGTCAATGTCTCCTATTGGGAGTAAGGGTAGTATCCACTCATTTATCTCATCCCTAAGTCTGAAGATAAAGCCAAGAAATAATGCTGACTCTGACATTCAATATTTTTCTCTGTATTCTATATTCAATATTTTGCTCCAAATCAACATCAACAATGGACAGAAGGTATCTCAAGAAGAGGAAGCTAGAAAAGAATCAGTCCCAATGAAGGAGAAGGTAGATATTTGCATAATATTTAGTTCTGGAACGATCTCTCAGTTAAAGAGTTTAACTCCATGCTCATTGAATGAGGCTTGGTCAACCATATAATAGCTCTAATGATCAAGTCTAAGGATGATGATGTTATCAGAATCTCACTTAAGATAATCATTTTGCTCACCTTTAAAGTCCCAATCAAGGAATTCCTAAAATTTGGAAGTGGCTCTGAAAAATTGTGGTAAGTATGCCTGTCATTAATAAAATAGGATAATGTCTTGCCTTTCGAATGACACAGAGAATTACAACTACTGCAATTTCCAGAGTTTCCTTGGATACGTTCTTCATCGCTCCAAAAAGGAAGATATAGACATTACTTCTTTCATGCCTGTCGAAAGCATTAACTCTTTCATTCTCAAACTTTGCAATGATTTCAGAGAAGATGAACTACTAGAGCTCAATGTTAAAGGCAATAGTTCCAAAAAGAAACTCATAATTTACAAATTCTTCTTTGTGAGTTACTTAATTTCCCTGCTAACCAAGATCCTCGATCAGAAATGCAACAAGATTGAGATCGACATCAGACTTGGGGTCAAGCAGCTGTGCTATAACTTCATTGAGATTTGTCAAAGCATCCATATTTCAGACTTGGGTTTATCAAAGCTCCTTCAAAATATTGAAGAACAGAACAAAAAGCGAGAAGAAAGATATCAGCTGAAAATGTAACCGCTAATGCTTAATACTTTAGAGAAGGAAGATCCTCAATAATAGGCGTCATTGTTAGCCTCTGAATGAAAACCATTTACATAGAGTGCCTTTCTTCAAATAAAAATGAGGATAAGGAAGACCTCATACTTGATAAAAGAGCCACTAATGTCATTCATGATGTAAGAGTTTGGTATGAATTTTACTTAGGACCCAAAAGAAGAAAAGATTAGGACTCTTAATAAGAAAACCTGCCAGTTAGTCCTGAACAACCTCACGAAATTTGAAGATGTGGGAGAGATTATTGACACCTCATACAAATATCTTTGCTGCTTCTTTGAAAATGTTACTGATGATATAAAGCAAGAGTACACAGAGCTTTTAGAAAACTCTAAAGTGTTGGTAACCCAAGCTGTAAAGCATGTGGCTGTATATAAATCTGAAAGTGCTCTTAAATTCATTAATTTACTAATAAAAGCTAGCTCAAAGTACAAGAACAAGCAGGAAATTGAAAATGTAAGATTCTTTCTTAATTTATAGGCGTTGAGAAATTTAATGTCAAAAGGCAGAATGGTCAAGAAATAAATTGATTTAAATATCGCATTCAATACCAAGGATATATCTCGGGGTTTTGGGGTTTTGGGGTTTTGGGG